ATATAGATATAAATTAGAATACCTGTATGTACTCAGTGAAACAAGTAAGTTATTGCAAATTCTATTTTCTTTGCAGGTTTTAAGTTAGCCGGTAGCTATACGACATATATTTGAGTATTTCTTAATCGCTGTAAATATAGCGTGGATGTTTGTTCAGTTCCTGAAAAACCAAAAAATATTTGACTATGGATGTATGGATATCAAAAATCCTTAATGGTTTTGTGGGAATATCAATCGACGGAGCTATAATGGTACTGATGAACGGCAAGTAAATGAATGAATGTTTGGAAACGAGCAATATCTATGAAGTTTTTGGTAGAGCCTGTCATCAAGTAGGTGCTTAATGGTTATTTGAAAGAGGTTTATAGGAAAAGAACACACGGTAGGTGATGTTGAATCAGTAAAATCGCATATCAATTGAAGAAGATAATATAAACATGAATAGACAGTTGAAAATATTAAATAAAAACATGAATTTTATTCATCAAAAACCGAACACTTTTCTAAATTTTGACTAAATTATATGTATTTTCTTAATATTCTATAAGCTGGTGATGTTTCAATGACAAACTGTCATCTTATACTTTGACAGTATTTTGTTTTCAACATTTCGTAGCCATTGGTTGCAAAAATTGCAAAGAGTAAGTCCGAAAGTGCACGCATGCGCAGATCGCGCGATAGCTCTATCTCTTACTCCCCTACAGAGGATATATAAAATAATTTATCAATCCTGGCGGTCCTAATAATGATAATGGAAAACTGTTATCAAATTATTGCATTGTCATTGATCCTTGATACCTATGCGAAGTTTCACATTAATAAAATTTCTGCAGATTGGTGAAAATTATGCTTAAAGATTCCGTTACTACATACATACTGGCCAAGCTAATAAACGCGTGTTAAAAAAATGAAATGAAAGAAGATATACCACAATCTGCCTCCTGTGAGGATTGAACTGACGACCTCTGGTTTGCAAGTCCAGTGCTCTGCCACTTAGGCCCGTATCGTCAGTCGTCCCTACAATTGTAGGGCGCGTTTATGGCCTCCTTGATTGTCATAGTTTTCTACTTCTCCATGTCAGAGCTCTATTTTGAGGTTATGTCACAAACATCTATTTGCATCAAATTGTGCTTGCTTTTGAGTTATATCATGTTTTATCAGCCTAAAATTTCCTACAATTTAAAAGGAAAACATATCTTAACAATAGGAGAGCGCTGACGCTGACACGGGACGAGTGTAATCTAGAAATTTTTGAAGGAGAGAAAAGAGTATGACAATCAAGGAGGCCATAAACGCACCCTACAATTGTAGGGACGACTGACGATACGGGCCTTAGCTACAAAAGCTTGTAGTTTCACTGTTCGTAAAGCGGCCGGCATTTGGAATCCGTGGCTTTTTATTAGCATATCTTCTATTTACAGAATTTTTAATGGATAATGGCAAACTGTTATCAAATTATTGCATTGTCATTGATCCTTGATACGTATGCGAAGTTTCACATTAATCAAATTTTTGCAGATTAGTGAAAATTATGCTCAAAGATTCCGTTACATTCATACAGGCCAGGCTAATAAAAGCGTGTTGATAAAAACAAAAGACAAGCATTGGCTGATTCTTTCGGAGACAACACCCCTCAAATACAAATCCCAACGTCTTTAATGTTCGAAAAGTCCACCTGCAGTATCTCACAGTTCGCAAGCTATAAAAAGCGTTAAGCTCTTGCATCAAACCAAAAACAGACTAACGAACATAAACCGAACACCCTTTTAACAAATAAATCCTCCCCCATCCTACATAAAACCAGATAGAAAATAAAAAGCTCTCACTTTTTGTGACACTGGAAGTTTCTTAGCCACCCTTCAGTAGAATGACGGAACGTTTCTGCCATGCTAATTTTTTTCCTTGCAGCCACCTGCTTTTTTACTGAAGCCATAATCGGATTGCGTATATCGTATAAGATGGCGATAAATTACGTTAGGGTGAAGAACCCTGTTCATTTTGGCCCTATTTATATAGAGTACATTGACTTTTTAAGACTCTTTGAACCAAAATTTATTTTTGCTGCTAAAAGGGAAGTTATTTGAGCTACTTAGATGTATGATAAATCTGTCGTGAGCCTCCCGTAGGGAAAAATTCAACGAAAAGGTTACGCTTACAGGCTCACTCAGCCAGTTTGAGGTTTAGTTGCTATATCGCACGCTTGCTACAAAAAAAAACTAAGTTTTTGCCAAACCGAAGAAAACTGTTTTCTACACTCTAAATATTTTTTGTAAAAATACATTCGTTCGGATAAATATACTAAGTGACATATAAATCCGAACACCCAGTTTAAATGGTTTTATTTTAATAAAATTTTGTATAAGTACTTAATGAAGCATAATAAGTAAATGATAAAAATTTCAAAATGATTGCACTGCTTTAAAGCCCTTTGACCTTTAATAATGTGTGGATGCACCCTGATGTGCTACGCATTCTCCAACGCGCCTAGGCATGCTTCTGATCAGGTGGTCTCAATGTCCTCCTGTGGTATCTCATTCCAGGCAACCACCAACTCCTCTCGAAGTGCTTCTAGAGTCTGAGGAGGACGTTGCAAATTGAGCAATCTCCTACCCATCATATCCCACAGGTGCTCAATTGGGGATAAGTCGGGAGATCTTGGTGGCCATGGTAACAATGTGACATCATTATGTTGAAAGAAGTCTATTGTGACTCTTGCAACATGTGGTCGGGCATTATCTTGATGGAAAGTTGGATCTGCCAGGGTGTCAAGACAGGGTAAAAGATGGGGTTCTAGAACTTCGTGGATATAACGCTGCGCGTTCATGTTACCTCTGATGAAGATTAAAGGTGACCTGGAACCATAAGCTATAGCACCCCAAACCATAACTCCAACAGTGTGATGAACATGTCTTTCAACAAAAAACTGTGGATTCCTCCTTTCACCACGTCGCCTTCTAACCCTGGCACGACCATCGTGCATGCCTAAACAAAATCGAGACTCGTCACTAAAGACAATTTTGTTCCATTCCTGATCCCAGAGTGACCGTTGTCTGCACCACTCAAGGCGATTACGTCGGTGTTCTCGAGAGGACCCAGTGTGGCCGGTATGAAAACAAGCCAAAACTTCTCATTCGTCGGTACACACTTCGCATGCCAATAGGTCTTCCGTGTTCTGCAAACCATTCATTTGCAATGGACCTGGTAGTGGAGAAACGGTTCCTTAAGGCCAATAATCTTAGGCGGCGATCTTCACGGTCTGTTGTTCTACTGCGGCGTCCAGTGCCCCTTGCTCTTCGCGTAAGGCCTTCTCGAAGCCATGCCTGACAACACCTAACCACAGTGTCTACACTTCTTTGCACTCTAACTGCAATTGCCCGAAAAGAAAGTTCAGCTTCCCGAAGTCCCACTATACGGCCCCTATCAAACTCACTAAGTTGACGAAATCGTACAGGTCTCCGTACTCTAGGCATCGTAACCGATCGTAAAGGATGTCAAGAACCAAAATCCGCCAACGTTGATTCTTTACTGCGGCTGAAATATTCATTTTTAGAGCGTTAGTGAATTAAAAAAAAGCAGTATAAAAACCGGAATGTCCAACTGATAAGGCTGAACATTTTTTCACTTGTTATAGTATTTACAATAAGATAAATACATTCACCAACTTTTATTAAAATAAAACCATTTAAACTGGGTGTTCGGATTTATATGTCACTTAGTATATTTCCAAAACCGACAGTTTAGTTCAGAACTGAAAAGGAGCAAAAGACTTGCGACACTTTTGTTGTTCGGTATTATTGAAAATAATAAGGAGAAGTATGAGTATTTATTCATAGTTTTTACCTGAAAATAAATCGCCAACATTATACTATACAAATATTTTTATTTTCTTACACAAATCATCAAAAACAAATTGATTTGGACCTAAATACTGAGCAGGTATTCCTGTCTTTATTCAAGGAAAACAAACACAGCATACAAAAAATCATAATAAGGAATAATGAATTGAAATATTTTTCAGTCTTCATAACTTAAAAAATTTTTGGTTTGAACTGAATCAGATCCTGAGTACATCTTTATAAAACATACATGAATTTGACCCTAAATACTGAACAGGTACTCCTATTTTTATTGAAGGAAAACAAACACAATATACAGAAAATCATAATAAGGAACAATAAGAGGCTTGCCTATAAATTAAAATAATTTTCAGTCTTCATAACTAAACAATTCCTTCACCAGGTTTGAACTGAATTAAATCCTAAGTACATTTTTATAAAAAGAGTTAGTTCTTGTAAGTGCTGTTTTTTAAGTCACTCAGGGGAAACTTAGCTAAGCTAAGCTAACCGAGTCTGCGTTATGCTCTTGGGATCTAGTGTTTTTCACATTATTCATATCGACTTTTCTGAATTCCACCTGTTCATAGAACGTTTTATAGAAGAATGAATCCGGGTATTCCTTACACACTTTAAGTATTTTAATGTCATTCCAGCTAACTTTTCCTTTTTCAGTATCTGTCGTAAAGTTTTTTCGCCACTGTTCTTCTAACGCTTTTAAATCGAATAAATTTTCAAAGGTAAGCCGGTGAACTCTGTAAGGCGAACCACTTTTTTTGCTGTTCGAATTAGTGTTTCATACTCATCAGGTACGTAAGTCGGTCCAGATTTGAGATATTTCCTAATTTGCTTATAAATAATACTGTACATTAATCCCCTTATTTTGAGAATGCCCGTTTATTAAATATTGATGAATGATACTGCGGATTGGCAGTTTGTTTATCGCGTAAGAGTAGGCAGTGACTAAATACTTATTCTTCTGCTGACGACAACAGTTATCTGAATATAATATTACATTCAAAGGTTGAGCAGTCTCACTTTCCTCAACAAGTTGGTTGAGGTAACGAAGTACGCAGCTTCCAATTTCAATCGCTGCACGTTTTCCTTCAGTCTCATTCTAAAAGTAGCAATTGACGTTTTTTTCCCTTGTAATGAAATTGTAACAATTCAGTTTAGTCTGTAGGTCATACACTGCGACGATTGAACCATTTGTATTTTTTTACCAGCTTCCTTCTCTAGACGGGACAGCTTCTTTTCTTTCATGTGGAGATTGTACTTGTCCATCAATTTTTGTTTGCCTTCATCATCTGCATTTGTATGGGAAAAGCAAAGATCGCGCTGATCTTTTTTGGGTATATAAAATGAAATGTTATATTCGCCATTGAATATACGATTAAACATCACATAATAGGCGTACGGAAGTTGTTGACTTTCCCGATCTTCTTTTTTTTACTATCAATATATTCTCGAGTAGTTTGAGCCCTCAGATAATGCGATTCAATTCGGGGTATGGCATTTATAAATTTTCTCACGATATCTTTAATTTCGGGATTCACCTGTGGTTGTTTACCATGTTTTCCTCTTTGATCAGCGATAATAAGACCCTCATCGGTTCTTTTTTGTAACGCTGTACGAATAGGACTATCTTTAATGTTGAGGGTGGCCTTAAAAAATATCTTGCGTACCCTAATGCGATTTCCGTTGAGATTGAAATAAAATGCCGAATTCATTTGTCTATAATTTTCCGTACATGAATAACGGTATTTCGGTCCCAATACCCAGAAAAAATGTTTTCTTCGTTGATTTTTTTACTGCACTGCAGTCTGCATTTTTCGCCACATGGGGGGGCTAATTTTCTTTCTGAAAACTGTTTTTTGGTTTTTGACAATGAAACGTAAGCTTTTCCCGAATTACTTAATAATTTAGTCTTTTTTAAAGACCAGCTACCAACACTCCGTTTTCTTTTCTTGCCGTTTGTAGCTTCTATCTCTGCTAAGTTTCCATTTATAACTTCTTCTGTACACTTCGTTGAACTTTTGTCACCACCGGGATGCTTGTTGATGAAATCTGGATCTGCACCCGAGTCGCTTTCTCCGCTATGTATGGGCGAGACATAATAATTTTTTGATTTTCTTTTTAAATGAACAACTGTAGGACGATCCATATTACAAGATACTGTGTAATAGTTGCTACATCCAGGCTGAGGAGTGTTGCTTGTAGCCTCTTCGAAATGATCTCTGACCGGATAGATTCTTGAGTTACGGTCTCCATCGTGAAGTTTTCTTGAGGCTGGTAATTGGTAGTGTTACAATGTTTATCTTATAAACCAAATCGTATCTTCTAATATCACTGAAATTGTCAGAATCAGTTGGAATCTTCTCAGTTGTACATGTTTCGGCTTCAATCATCGAACTCAAAAGCAAGTCATTCAGTTGAGAACCAATTTCAGCATTAAGATCTTCATTAGGTGCTGGTATTTTATTACATTTCGTTGTTTCTGGCGGATATGTTGCTTGATATGCAGCGATACCCTGCTTAACAATAAAAGCTGTTCGACTTGAGATATCCATACCGTTGCCTACAACAAAAAAAAAACAAAGCTAGAGAGACAAAAACTTTGATGTCTTATACTACGATTGGAAACATTATTAGGTAGGTAAATCGAGTGTGTTACAATTTGGTACATTTTTGAGACAACAGGATTTATTTTAACGCCTGGGATAGGAAATGACTTAAACATGTAATACATAAATATTATGTAGTATTATGACGGAAGGGGTAAACAACAACCGTGCATAATAGTGAGAGCGACATATATAATAAGATAGATCCAGATGCCATCAACAAGAATCCCGGTGCAGTGACAAAAGTTCAACGAAAAGTAATGATGAACCTCTAAATGAAAGCGTTGCAAAGACACAAACTACAAAACGCAAAAAAAATAAATTTTGATAACTGGTCTTCGAAAAAAACGAGTTGTTAAGAAATTCTTGACAAGCTTATTTTTGTCAAAAACGAAAAAACGTCAATAAAAAGGTAAGTAAACATATTTATATAGTTTCATTTGGGCTGATAATCATGAAGTCCAACCACAGGTGAACCCGAAGGGGGGGTAATGTCATACCCCGAATTGAATTGCACTGTCTCTAAAGGCCTAAAATATTCGGAAATATATCGATAGTGGTAAAAAGGTTATGGACCTCTATAGATATTATGAAGAAGAGCGAGAAAAGGAACTTCAGTATTCCAATTACTGTCTGTGATTTAATTCCAGATTTCCTCATTAAATAAGCCTTGAAGTACTCGCCCAGTATATATGTTTAATTTAAGGATAAGAAGTGACACATTTTCTGTGAAATACATATCAAACTACTTCCTACATATACTAAGTGACATATAAATCCGAACACCCAGTTTAAATGGTTTTATTTTAATAAAAGTTGGTGAATGTATTTATCTTACTGTAAATAACAAGCGAAAAAATTTTCAGCCTTATCAGTTGGACATTCCGGTTTTTATACTGCTTTTTTTAATTCACTAACGCTCTAAAAATGAATATTTCAGCCGCAGTAAAGAATCAACGTTGGCGGATTTTGGTTCTTGACATCCTTTACGATCGGTTACGATGCCTAGAGTACGGAGACCTGTACGATTTCGTCAACTTAGTGAGTTTGATAGGGGCCGTATAGTGGGACTTCGGGAAGCTGGACTTTCTTTTCGGGCAATTGCAGTTAGAGTGCAAAGAAGTGTAGACACTGTGGTTAGGTGTTGTCAGGCATGGCTTCGAGAAGGCCGTACGCAAAGAGCAAGGGGCACTGGACGCCGCCGTAGAACAACAGACCATGAAGATCGCCGCCTAAGATTATTGGCCTTAAGGGACCGTTTCTCCACTACCAGGTCCATTGCAAATGAATGGTTTGCAGGACACGGAAGACCTATTGGCATGCGAAGTGTTTACCGACGAATGAGAAGTTTTGGCTTGTTTTCATGCCGGCCACACTGGGTCCTCCCTTTAACTCGAGAACACCGACGTAATCGCCTTGAGTGGTGCAGACAACGGTCACTCTGGGATCAGGAATGGAACAGTATTGTCTTTAGTGACGAGTCTCGATTTTGTTTAGGCATGCACGATGGTCGTGCCAGGGTTAGAAGGCGACGTGGTGAAAGGAGGAATCCACAGTTTTTTGTTGAAAGACATGTTCATCACACATTTGGAGTTATGGTTTGGGGTGCCATAGCTTATGGTTCCAGGTCACCTTTAATCTTCATCAGAGGGTAACATGAACGCGCAGCGTTATATCCACGAAGTTCTAGAACCCCATCTTTTACCCTATCTTGACACCCTGGCAGATCCAACTTTCCAACAAGATAATGCCCGACCACATGTGCAAGAGTCACAATAGACTTCTTTCAACATAATGATGTCACATTGTTACCACGGCCACCAAGATCTCCCGACTTATCCCCAATTGAGCACGTGTGGGATATAATGGGTAGGAGATTGCTCAATTTGCAACGTCCTCCTCAGACTCTAGAAGCACTTCGAGAGGAGTTGGTGGTTTGCCTGGAATGAGATACCACAGGAGGACATTGACCACCTGATCAGAAGCATGCCTAGGCGCGTTGGAGAATGCGTAGCACATCAGGGTGCATCCACACATTATTAAAGTCAAAGGGTTTTAAAGCAGTGCAATCATTTTGAAATTTTTATCATTTACATATTATGCTTCATTAAGTACTTATACAAAATTTATTAAAATAAAACCATTTAAACTGGGTGTTCGGATTTATATGTCACTTAGTATATTTAGAATTTTCAAAAACTTGAAAGGTTTTACGTAGTTAATTCGTTAGAGTTTCGTTAAATTTGTTACAACAAAAGTTGACATAATCAAAACATATTACAACAAAAGTGACCTAAAACAAATTATATTTGAACATTTGTGTTACTTTAAGCAACTAAAGCGACACAACTTTATATAAAACAAATTTTGCTACAGATTTCTAACCTCTAAACTGACTTAATTCAAAATATTAGAAGAACTATACTCACCGTTATTCATCAAAAACGACACAAATCAAAATAAGGCGGTTTGAATGCATTCACGTAACACCTTTACTGTATTGAAGACAGGGTACAACTGAAAATATCTTGTTTAATACAAACGGAATCTGCAAAAGCGACACATATGCCACCTAGCGGTCAATGAACAAGTTAATTTATTACTCTTCGTTAGAAGGTAAACCATTATTTTCACCTGTGATTGCTAGTAACAACTCAAAATTCACACTTTTGGAGTTGTGTCACTTTTGTAGCAAGGGTGCGATATGTACGAGAGCAAAAGATAATTTTTATGTAGGGATGTCTTGAAAAGCAAATAAACGGGTGAATTTTTTAAGAGGTTATAGGATTTGATTTAAAAAAAAAAACACAAAAAATTTGAAAAAACGATTAAATCTTTATTTGAGTCGATAGAACGGTCGATATAATTTAATGTTTAAAGATTATTTCATGTAAATGTTGGCCGCGGCTCCGCTTTAGATGGTCCATGCGCAAGGTCCAATTTTGGCACTCTCTCTCCAACATATCGGCCGGTATCTCACAATAAATGCTTCAATAGTGGCTTCCAGTGCGTCCATCGTTGCTGGTTTATCCCTGTAGACATTAGCATTAACATGGCCCCACAATAAATAGTCCAACGGCGTTAATCACACGATCTAGGCGGCCAATTGACGAGCTCCAAACGTGAGATAAACTGTTTCACGAACTCGCCTCTCAATAGGGCCATTATTTCGTGTGCGGTGTGGCATGTGGCACCGTCTTGTTGAAACCACATGTCAGCCAAGTCCAGCTCCTCCATTTTGGACAAAAAAAAGTTTGTTATCGTCGCACGGTAGCGCTCGCCATTCACAGTTACGTTCCGGCCATTGTCGTCTTTGAAGAAGTACGGCCCGATGATGCCACCGGCCCATAATCCACACCAAACAGTGATTTTTTCGGGATGCATTGGTAGCTCTTGCAATGCTTCTGGCTGGTCTTCACTCCAGATGCGGCAATTTTGCTTGTTAACGTACCCATTCAACCAGAAATGAGCTTGTCGCTGAATACAATTTTTCGATAAAAACGTGGATCTTCCTCCAACTTTGCCAGCGCCCATTCACCAAATTAGAAACGTTGTGGGAGGTCGTGTGGCTTCAATTATTGCAGCAGCTGTATCTTATAAGGTTTTATACCCAAATCCTGTCGCAAAATTTTCCAAGTAGTGGAGTAACAGAGGCCCAATTGCTGCGAACGGCGGCGAATCGACATTTCACGGTCATCACTAACACTGGCGGATACAGCCGCAATATTTTCTTCAGTCTTCACTCTACGTCTGCGTGTTGGTGGTTTAATGTCCAATAATGTAAACTGGGTTCGAAATTTAGTCACAAGCTTCCGAATAGCTCCCTCAGTAGACCGACCAAATTGCCCATACATTGGAAGCAATGTTCGTTCGTAAGTCGATTCATGGCTAAATTATAGACCAAACTGAACAAGTTTGACAATGACACAAGACACGATTCGCGCGTCATCTGTCAAAAACATACTAGCAAAAAAATCACCCATTAGTATACACGCCGCAAGAAACAGGTGCCCTGTTAATAATGTGATACTTCTCAAAAGAAATACAGTGGGGTGATATGATACCTTTGCCTCACCTCTAACAAGCGACCATGAAAGCTGCTCATAAACTGTAGATGCTCTCTGGAGAGAGGGAACCTCTGCCAGTAATAATGTACATTAAAAGCTCCCCATAATGCTTTTTGTTGATAACTAATATTTTCTCTAGTTTCAAAAAATTCACACTTCGGGCAGGAAGCGCCGGCAGGGTAATACTGTCGAGTTTTTCTGTCTAAGAGTGGCTATAAAGGCTTTCCCCACTCAAAAAAATACAAGTCGGCACACCAGCGACCCGTACTGCAAAAAACGAAAGGACATTATATTCACTGAATCAAACCAGTTACGTCACAGCGTTAAATAATGACAGTGACGCACGTTGTTGCCTCATTACTTAAAACTACTGGATCCTAGGAAATAAACCACAGTCGTTGGCGTAATTAGGTACCTGACAATATCACAACACAGAAAACTGTTACCAACCTAAATGTACCCGGGAAATTAAA